CCGCCTTCCGCTGCAGCCTACCTGTGTCCGGACTCCGTGCTGGTGGCCGAGGATGGGGCCGTGCTGTTCAGGCCGCCCCCTGCCAACGGTGGGTACGGGCGGGCATGGCTCACCCTCGGCTGTGTTCCCACGTCGACCACCAACCTCCGTGGCGGGAAGGAGAGCTCAGCGGGTTTGGGGTTTCTCTCTTAGGCACCTCCAACTCGTTCTTCCTGGCCCCCGAGGTGGCAGAGCAGCAGCTGGTGACTGAGAAGGTGCCTGGCCCCATCCCCTTCCCGTGGCCTCCTGCCCACCCCTCCCCACCCTGTGATGCCACCCCCTCTGTCCTGAGAGCCTGAGGGGGAAGGAAGGGACAGGCACTGGGTCAGGGGGGTCCTGGCAGCCCCAGTGCAGCACGTGCGTCCATCCCCCCGGCTTTGCCTGACCTGGGCAGCCTCCCCAGCAGGTGTCTCACGGGCTCTGGTGGTGTCACCCCAAGATAGGACTCTGCATGGACAGCTCAGGGCCTGTGGGCACGGGTTAAACACGCACCTGGGGGCTGGGGGCTCCGGGCTTCGAGGTGCCGGGGGGTCCAGACAGGGACGCCTCTGTGGGGACGGAGACTGGTCTGCTGAGCACGGCTGGCTTCTCTCGTCCCCAGGCCTCCGTGTACTGTGTGGCCGCAGTGCTGTGGATGGCGGCCAAGTTCAGCGTCCCCCAAGACCACAAGCTGGCCCTGCCACGCAGGCTCAAGACCCTCCTCCTGGAAATGGCCAGGCGCAGTGCCCAGGAGCGGCCGTCTGTGGCCGAGGCCATCAAGGTAACCTGGCAGTTGGGCACAGCTGGCCTCCAGGGCCTGGGTGGTGCCCACAAGGAAGAGACTTATGTCCAGGAAAAGTCGGCGTTGGGCAGGGAGGGCACAGGTGTCCTTTGTGGAGGGCCCATCCCCCCAGCATTGCCCCCAGACCACCTGGTCAGAGAGTGGGCAGGGGTTGTCCTGGGGCCAGCCCAGACCTCTGCCCTTAAGCCCGGCCAGAGAGGAGCAGAGCACCCCGCTCATTGGAGTCCTCCCACCTCCTCTTCCTGGGGTTTGGGGCCGTGGGGCTCCACGTGACAAGGGCAGGGGAGCCCCGCTATTGTTTCCCTGATTGGGGGGTGAGGGGAGCCACAGGACCTTGAAGGAGAAGCTGCGTGCAGACTGGGAGGAGACAGCTTTGCAGCTGCAGCCTGGGAGCAGGGCCCTGTCTGCCTGCCCCCGACTGCTGTCAAGTGAGGCCCACACCGATGTTCAGAAGGGGCGAGCTGTCCCCGATATCAGAGTGTTTGCTTGTGGAGTGAGCAGCTTGGCTGAGAGAGGCAAGTGTTTCTTCCTGCGAAGGCACAGATCAAGTGACAGACACCTGCTGAGATCCCCACGGGGCTCAGAGGCCTGGCTGCGTTTATGCCACAGGGGCACTGCCTGTTGTCAAGGTCATGGCGGGCTCAGGGTTGCCGGGGTGAGATTACCTTCGCTGTCATTGCAGTTTTTGTCTGTCTCAGGTTCCAATCGTGGGGTTGTTTTGTGGGTGTGAGCTGACTGGTTCTGCCCCGCCGGCTCTGTAGCATCACCCTTTCCTGTGGTTCTTAGAGGGATGGCTGGAAAGGGCATGTGTCCCCGTGCCCCCGTCTCAGCACTGGGCACCGGGCAGCCTGCTCCTCCATGCAAGTGGCTGTCAGCAAGGCAGGGTGGAGAGAGGCCGTGGCCATTTCCATCCAGTTATTTTGTTGTGTTTATTTCAGAGAGGAAGGGAGAGGGAGAGAGAAATAGAAATGTCAATGGTGAGAATTATCGATAGGCTGCCTTCTGCACACCCCCTTCTGGGGATCGAGCCTGCAACCCAGGCATGTGCCCTGACGGGGAATCAAACCATGACCTCCTGGTTCATAGGTCGACGCTCAACCACTGAGCCACATTGGCTGGGCCGTCCAGTTTTTATTCCTACGGAGGACACCCAGGAGGACAGGCTCTAGGTGTGCGGACGCTGACATTGATCACAGGCTGCCCGCACCGGGCCATCCCTGGGGTCTTCCTGCAGGGGAGCCCCGAGCCCCTCCACCGTGCCCTCGCTGACCGGCTCCTGTCCAGCCTGGCGGGAGACGGGCTGGTGGCCAAGCCGCCCGCATCTCCGCGTGTCGGACGTGTGGCCTGTGTCCTTGCTTTCAGATATGTGGCAGTTACCTCCTTCAGCGAGGCATGGACAGCAGAAAGATTTTAGCGCACCTGAGGGCATCCACCTGTAAGGTAAGGGGGCGACTTCCAAGGCTCAGGTGCGAGCCCCAGAACCTGCCCTGGGGCGCCGGGGAGACGGGGTCCCTGTTCCCACTGTTTGTTGTACAGAATGTAGGGGAGGGGGTAACTGACACATTCTCAGCCTTTCTCACTGCCTTGAACAGCAGCCCCACGCCCTGACCCACTGACCCAGGGCAGGGGATGGGGCTCACCCAGCGCACACTGGCCCTCAGGTAGCTGCATCATTTACACACGTCCCTGTCGGCTCCCCAGGCAGCTGACCGGAGCAGGCCACCTCAGGGTCCCTGGGTCAGCAGCCAGGCACCCGCCACCCACCAGGGTCTGGGACGGTGCACAGCCTTCCTGAGCCCTAGAAACCAACCAACCCTCGTGGAATCGGATGCAAGTGCCCTGGAGGCTCTGCGAGGCAGCTGAGGCTGGAGCGAGGGGTTGAGAGTGAGCCCTGGGCCTCTGCTGTCGCCTCACCGGGGGCCCGTGTCCTTCTGCCCCAGGTTTACCAGGAGGAAGAGACCATCAGTCTCCAAAATGTGTTCTCGGTGGTTGAACTGACCCCCAGCGCAGCGCCAGCTCCCGGGTCCAGCTCAGGTGAGTCCCCCGGGACCAGCCCATCCTGCCCCGGGGCCCCTGCTGTCCACCAGAGAGTGACACTGCCCTGGACATCCCCGGGACCCCCAGCTGCCCTTCCCCTGGCCTCAGTCTCTTCTAAACGCCCCTTGCTCAGCCCTCGGCTCTAAATTCTCTCCCATCTTACCAGCCACCAGAGCAGCAGCTCCACCCGCCTCCTCTCCCACCCCCACCTGTGTTCACATCGCCGACCCCCTAGTTGTTGTCCTGCTCCGTCCCCTCCACAGAGCCCACGGTGTCCTGTTTCCACGGCACCTACCCGATTCTGCCTGTGGCCGGGTCCTCGGGGTGTTCATGGCCCCAGCGCTCCCTGAGTAGCGTCCCCAGCCTCCCTCCCAGCTCCAGCCGCCCTGGGCCCAGCCTCCGTGAAGTCTCCCTTCCCCTTGTGCGGGAGGTCCCAGTGCACTTGGGGATGGTGGGAGGGGTCACAGCACCCCCTCAGAGCTGGAGGAGCCACCCCCCCACCCACACTCACCCCAAGTTTGTCCAGGCTTCGTGCAGGTCAGCGGTGACACCAGACTCGTGGCTGTGCAGGGGCCTGCGCCCGATCCACCCTCCTGCTGCGAGGAGGCCTTGGAGCTGCCCGAAGCATTCGCCTCCCCAGCCACACACTTCAAGCCCATCGTCCTCGCACCCGACGCAGGTGCGGCCAGGTGAGTGGCAGGTGTGGCCAGGAGCCGGCTGGGCCCAGGAGCCCCTCCTGAGTGCTCTCTCCTGCTCACAGGGAGGTACTTGCCAGGTCGGGGCCGGCAGAGAGGCCAGAGGAGAGGAAAGGCAGGCTGGACGGGGACACTGATGAGAAAAAGGCTCCTGAGGCCCACGCAGTGGCCACCAGCTTGGAGACACCTGACCAGATGGCACCTGGACCCAGCTCGTGTGGCACAGCCCCAGGACCCCCAAGAGAGTTGGTGCTGAGAGGGTCAGCCCAGGGGTGCCCCTGCCCCCCAGCTCCCACCTCCTCAGCGATGCCCCAGGAGGGAGGGCTGGAGGAGCGGGTCCCACCTGGAGCCACTTCCAGAGGCCTGGGGCCCCGCACCCCAGAGCCCACCACAGCTCGCCAGGGCCTGCATCACCCGGCCAAGCCACCCAGGAGCAAGGCCACCAAGGGCCCCGGCCAGGAGCCCCAGGGCCCACCATTCAGCCCCTCCCTGGCCAAGGCGAGTCCAGACAGCCCCAGGGGTGCCCCAGACAGTCACCCCGAGCAACCCCGGCCAGCAGACCGCAAGCTGTGTCCATCCAGTGTGGACGCCTCACCCGTCCCCAAGAGCACGGCCTGCCCGTCCCTGCAGGAGGCCACGCGCCTCATCCAGGAGGAGTTCGCCTTCGACGGCTACCTGGACAACGGGCTGGAGGCGCTGATCATGGGTACTGGGGGCCACCAGGGCCGAGAGTGGCAGGGGACGCAGTGTACGGGTGGAGGGTCGGCATAAGGGGGGCCTCTGTCACCACAAAGAGGGGCCCCACCCCTCTACACGAAGAGCCAGTGAGCAGAGCCAGCCCCCACGGGTCCTCTGGCAGCCAAGAGGGTCTCAGAGCCCAGCCCGAGACCAGCCTCATTTGCGCAGAATGTGAGGGGACCCCCACACTTGCTCCCCCACATTTTAACTTGCCTCTATCGATGTGTAAAACCAGGGGAATATATTTACGCCTTGAAAGATCTCACCTACGCCACTTTCTGCGGGGCCATATCAGAGAAGTTCTGTGACCTCTACTGGGGGGAGAAGCTGCTGCAGAACCTTTTCAAAGTGGTGAACGAGAGGACGTCACCCTCCCGGAAGTGAGTGCCCCTCCTCGGGCCCCAGGCTCCCCCACCCAGGTCCCTGAGGCAGACCCTGTGTCCACTGGCCGCTTCCTCCTCCTGCCCCTCCTCACCCCAGCATTCAGCTCCACACCCTCCCCACAAGGGTTGCTCTCATGGCCCAAAGCCCACCTGCTTCCCAGCTTCCGGTTCTAGCACCTGGTCCCTTAGGGAGGGAGGGGGGCCCATGGGGTCACAGGGAGCCAGGAGGCATATTTCCCGGCTCAGGGACCAAATAACCAGGGACCAAATAACCGGGAGCCCTGCCAGCAAGTTTCCGTGGGAGGCGGTGCAGAGGGAGCCTGCGGTGCTGCAGGGGTG